TAAGTTTTTTATTTTTTATTTTTCCCCCTAAAAGATTTCAGTTTGTTTTTCAATTGAATTGTTCATGTTATAGGGTAGATAAAAAAAACATCTGACATTATTTATACTTGTCTAATTTTTTTATATCACAAAAACCTGTCATTTTAACAGGGGTGTGTAGACTTTTTATATCCACTGTACAAACACAAATGCAGCTAACGGAAAGCCTGGCAGACACTGGACTTCTGATGCATAAACTCTGGAAACTATTCTTCTAACGGAAACTTTCACTAGACTGAGATCTAATACTACCCTTAAGTTGGGTACAAAGATGCCATCTGTGAGACATTTTAGTTGTCCTCCAAATGATGCATCAAAACTCACAAGTGATATTCAACACTGTGGTAGGCCTACAACTATTAGAGAATGTCAGAAAACACTGAATTAGACAGACGGTAGTTATGCAGCTCAATAATGATATGTTATTCACTATGCTGATGAACACAGCCACAGTGTTACGAACAATCACCATCCCAGGCTTGTTAGTCTGATATTTAATCAGCATCGCTTGACACTAAAGTACAAAGACACAGAAGATGCTATATTAATACAGTGAACATTTTATTGATCTTGCATTCCTTTTCTGCAATAGACTACTTTTAGAGTGCTTTATATGTAAAAGAGGATATAGGGTTTTCCAGTCATGTTCTACTTGATCTGCCTTTGACAGAAGGTTGTAACAGTAATAAGTTCAAATACAGCATTAAGATCATCATTCATTTCCTTGTGTGAATGAGTCACTTCATTTTGAGACAGACAGTGCTCTTCACACTGACCAATGTCAATCTAAGGAGCTGGTCCTCTCTAGTCTGTTTCATTATTGTAACCCAGTGTTTCCTTTTTAAAAAAAAATAATGACCTCTCTTGAAAGCAGCATCACTTTGGATGGCTTCTTTACAATCCAGTTTGTTTGTCCCACAAAAGGTTCATTTGCAGCAAGGCAGAAAACAAACATAAACACACAAATTTACTGAATTCTTTGAAAAGAGGTACACAATTAATACAAGCATAAACTGGTGTACCTGTTCTATACATCTGTTTAGACCGGTTATTGAATTAAATATTGTAAATGCAGATGGCAAAAGTTTTCCGAATGTACATTTTTCCTTCTCTGTTTTGAGTGAATTTATCAATGACTTTATTATTAATAGATATGGATTAGCAGAGAATAAAAAGGTTTGTGTACATTGGAAGCTAAGAAGAGCACATGATATTACATTGACTGAGCTTTAAAGCCCACTGATCACTTTTCTGTTTTTTGTTTTATGCTCATGTTTGACCTTGCCCTCAGAAACAGCTTGGAAAAATAAAATAGGGGTCATCCTCCCTGAAAATTCCCTCCAAAACTCCAAACTCAAAGGAATAGACTCTAAATACAGCATGTGTGTGCACACATCTGAGCACATACAACACACTTGTCTTTGTTTACCAAGGCCAACAGTATATGATGTTTACGAGTTTGACACTTATACTGCAGCTATGTCTCTGATTGTATTCAGCCACATGAACTGTGGATAACCACAGTTGTAGTATCTCACAAAACCCTTCAGATTAAAAAAACATATTAGATAGATTGAGCTAGAGATTATTCCTACTTGCCACTCACTTTAGTTTACTTAATTAGCATGGTAATACAAAAAGTAAATATAATATTTAAAGCAGTGTCGTAAGTACAAAGGTTTATCTAAGAAATATAACATAACCTTCAACTGACTGGACTGACTGTGGTGAAATTTGCTTAATCTTCTAAAGTCCCAAAAATCCAAATAACACTCCAGATATATTCACTGTTAAAAACTACACTTCTGGCCACTCCAGCTGCACTATTGTACAGAGAGCAATGCAAAATCTTTGCCACAGGTTCAATGCACAAACACATGAACACTGATTTGCATGCACATGCATAAAATTACAGGCAAATATTACCCATTACTACTAGCACCGAAAAATCAATTCAGCTCATTCAAGCGAGTCAGTTTCACTGAGACTGAAAACTATAATTCACCATCCAATATATCCTGACAGAACCAGATTACTTCAAGGAGCCACTCCTCCACAGAGCATTCTGATTAACAGAACCGTCTTTACCTTGCATCACAGTATTAATGGACACAATCAAAGGGATGACAGGACACGTGGTTTTGGTTTCTCAAGTGTTGCTGAACAGAATAGGGATAACAGGGATTATGGCCTTTGAGCTGCTGAAAGGCTTTTGAATGTGAAAAATCAGTGCATAAAGTTTGATTAAGATCAGCTTAACAATGGAATTGGCACGACAATGTCCTGATGGAAATAATGGAATTGAAATGGAAATGTACAGTATGCTGAAAAATACGCTGAACAGAAAATTAAAAACAGGAGCTGGTCAGACAGAAGGGACAGTTCTACAAAAATAAAATAAAATGATAGAAATGATAGAAATTAGCAATAAATCTCCTGAATTTCCCTCGGGATAAATAAAGTATCTATCTATCTCTAATACAAGCCTTTCTTTAGTTAAGTGAAGCCCCTACTGAGAGATGTTTTATGTGGAAACAAGTCAGATAAGCATATAGACACTCACAGCTGCTTGCCAGGGTTCAGAGAGCCCGCGTCTATTTCCTGGTCAAAGTCAGTGCGGAGGTCTTCCAGCGCTCCATCGTCTCCAAAAGCACCCCACTCTGTATTGACACACATCCGTCCCTCGTCACCGTCCAGCACCTCAAGGTTCCTCATCTGCTCCATGTAGCAGGCATTGGTCCCCGTTCCTTGAGGGAAGAGATGTTAGCATAACATTACTGCATTAGCATTTGTCATCCAAAAAAGAAAAAAAAGTGTCTATCACCCATGTTTGAATCAAATTAATCAAGCACGCTCTCCCATAAAAGGATATTAAAACTAGCAATCACTCTTCATCCAGTAACCAGAAAACCCCCCAGTGTCTACTCTTTTGTTTAAATGTTAACAGTTCTGGTTTGTTTCATTATCAAAAAATGTGTGTTCTATGGATTTTGTTCTCTAGTATGGAATTTAATTTTGTCTCGGCTGCACACTATATTGATGTCAAAGGGCAAAAGATGTGATATGTTTTATGAAGTATTATTCACTCCACCAATTTAAATGATAGAAAATTATAACCTATAATGTGTACAACCTATAAATTGCCATGATAAGGTGGTGATTCCCCTTTCTCATCAGTTTGTGCATCACTGTAACCTTGGAAGCTGTGCTGTCAGGGACAAAAGCTCCTGGTAGCGTGCCCCACCGCAAATTGGTCCCAGGGGAGGGGCCAGAACAGTGATTCACAAGATTCGACATCAACTGGCCAAAAAAGGTGCTGCAGCACCTCCAGGGATCTAGTGGGGTGGCAGCTACCACCCCTAAAAAATGCCTCCTCCCCAGTTTGGTGTTAAAAGCTGTCAAATTTAACAAATTCATTTAGATTAAATCTATGAATAATGTGTTAAAAACAGAAATGAATTTAATGATCTGTGTTGGTCACAGTTGTGGCTTAGGAGGTAGAGCAGGTCATCCACTACTCAGAAAGTTGGCGTGCCAAATTGCATCAGTGTGTGAATGTGAATGAACGAATGAGTTAGTTTCTGTTGGGCTTGTGAATGGGTGAATGTGGCATGTAGTGTAAAAATGCTTTGAATATTCAGAAGACTAGAAAAGCGCTATACAAGTACAGTCCTTTAACCATTACATTTTAGAGTAAGTGAAAGACTTATGGTCCATGAAGATTTTGGAAATAAAACATTTCCCAAATTTCTAATGCCAACTTTAGATAATTATATTAAATCATTTACTAATGTGCCTTCATTTCGGGGCTTTTCCAAGCAAATTTTGACATTAAATCAGCAAGTCTCCATGCAACCCTCTAGATTCGCTAAGAACCTCGTCTGGAATAGGTAAACTTTGGCCTGCTCTTGGAGCCAGACCTTGAAGGAGAGCTTGCCAGTGAGTGTCTGGTGGCCTGGCTCTGACCCAAGGAGCCCAGTCAGGCACAGCCCGAAAGAAACTAAATGGTGCCCCCATTATGCAGGCCCATTTCATCTGGCTTGGGACCACTTGGGATCCCCCACAGAGATGTACAACGTTGCTGGACCTCCCTTTCCTCCATCATCCTGCTGGACCTTTCAGCAGTGTTTGACACAGTAAACCACCAGATCCTTCTCTCCACCATGCAAGAACTGGAAGTCTCAGGCCCTGCACTCTCCCTACTCACATCCTGCCTCAAGGACCACACTTACAGGGTGGCAGCACATATCTCTGCATATCTGACACCTCTCAGTAGTTGTCTGAGCACCACCTGAAGCTCAACATCGACAATACAGAGCTGCTCTTCCTGCATGAAAGACATGGATGTGAGCATGACCTCTCCATTACCAGTGAGAACTCTGCAGTGTCCTGGGCTAAGATTGCAAGAGCCTGGTTGTGGCACTGGAGGACCAGCTGTCCTTCACTGCCAACATTGCTGGAACAATCCGCTCCTGCACCTGGTCCATGGTCTCATCATCTTGCACCTAGACTACTGCAACTTCTTCCTGGCTGGTGTGCCTGCATGTGCCATCCAACCAACCCCCCTGGCTCAGGCTCCTCCTACATCCTGGACATGGTCAAAGCCCTCCAGTCTGGCTTGCTGCTCTCTCACTACAAGGCAGGCCCTGCTACCGCTCAACAAAATAGCAACTGTTTGCTGTCCTGGCTCCATAATTGTGGAACAAGCTACACAGCAGAAACCCTACACATCTTCTGTTGCATTCTACACCTTGGCCCATGAAAAAGCCATCTATAATAGTTTTTAAATGTAGCACATAAAAGTATGTAATGGATAGACTTAACAATTTCAAGCATTTGAAAATGGATCAAGAGGAATGTTCACTCAGTAGAGCTTCTCTTATGGCACTTCTGACACAATGCCCATTATCTTCTGATTCAAGCATCCATTTTCAGTTCTTCAGCTGCCTTCAGCCAGGCCACATTCTCATCATCTTTAATTCCTTTGATGCAGGCAAGTTTAGGTGCAGAATTACACCATGTGAGACACAATGTTAACCTTTCAAAACCATTTAAATGTAATGACAATTATTTATAATAATTATTTATATTTATATAGGAACGTATTTGACCCTTTGACCTGGTCATTGTAAAACCATGTACAACCTGTTAAAGAGGCTATTATATGTGTTTACCCTTTAACCCTGTTTCTAACTACACTCTGTGTCCAAGTAAACAGCTGGATGTTGAGACTTCACTGAGCAGCCAAGGACATGATAAGACCGATCGTTGCAACACACTATCTTTGTTTCCCTAGAACTTAGGAATAAGTAACTGTGTTAGAGTGATGCTCCAAAAGGGTTAAAATGATACTGCTTCTTTCAATCTTCACTCTTTCGAGCCTTCACATACAAGAGTGTGTGATGGTTGCATGGATGATTTGAATAAAACTTTACAGGAAGACAAGATCATACTTTGTATGCATTATTTAACAAATGACCACAACAGATAAGAATCACATAAGGGTGCATACCTTAGGTAAAGCATCTCTAAAATACATACCTTACATATCCACACAGGATGTGTGGATATGTAAGGCCTTTAATTAGATCTGGAAGGTTCATTCTTAATTCTATATATTTTCTTTGTGGGAACCAAAGCACCTACTCCCAAGAGAGAATTCAGGCATGTTTGTGAGCTTCAGCTGGAAATGATGAACCTTGATATGACCAGAAGTGCACCTTTCGATCGACCATAAAGATATTAAGCAGTCTGGGATAGCTAAATGTACACATCTGTACCAATTCAGAACAACAGGTAAAATATCAATATTCCATAATACACTCTATAAGACAGTAGGAAATATATTACTTAAGGTGACAATTTGGTATCATATTATTCTATGATAACATGATTCCAAATGTTGGAAAAGGTCTTTCTCAAGTTTCCCTCAAGCATTGTTGAAGCACAAGAACTTAAGAACCAAGTTTTTACAGATTGCAGACACATTAGATTCCTGTGTGAGTGTATTGCAATGCTAGTTGTAATCAACTTTCAACTGCTTCCCCAACAAAATGAAGTAATTAATTTTGGGTGGTGCACCCTCAAACACTGGCAATGTCAACCAGTGGGATCCCAGTGTGGGATCATGTTCCTGTTGCTACACCAGTCTTTAGGTGGTCAGACACCTGTGCAGCGGGGGATGGGATCTAATTGACAGATTAAAAAGAAGCAGTTGGTAACTCCATGTAAATCCGAGAAGTCTGTCGAGACTTTCCACAGACCAGAGTGGGAGTTTGCAGTGACAAGGCCTGCAGTGCTGGCACAATTGGCTGATCCAAATTAGCAGAAGAAATATAACATGCAAAAACAGACAAGAGGGTATATTAATGTATGGTGGCACCCTGTGGCAACAAGCCTCTGCCTTACAGGTACAATTCTGCCCTATTTTGTAAGAATTATTTTGCATGTTACAAGCATAGTACTGTTAAAACACATACATTCAGATTTGATGCAGGCACTGACATATACAATTAAATAACACTAAGATACAACACAGCAAACAACAGCAAAGAGGAAAATCTATCAGTAACATGTTACCACATTGTCATGGTGGAATGGGAGCTTCTCAAATGTCAAGAGACAGGCTGAGCATATACCCATTCAGATTTCAATCTGCATATTATACATCCTTTTATGGTTACATAGACAATGAGTTGTAGTTTGCAAAACATATATGCATAAGTAACCAAGTGAGTGAAGAAACACAAAAAAATATTTTTACCTATTCCCAAGGCCAATGCATTTATTTTTTTCCTGAAATACTGCTCATTGGGTATTGTTTTGATTGATTAAAGCATCTGTATCCGAATGCTCTGCTAACTAGCATGTGAGCAAACACTCGCTGACCTTCACCGATAAATAAACATAAACATAAACAGGACTCACCCACAATGAGGCCAATTTCACAGTGATGATCATCATAGCCACAGGTCATCATGGTCCCCACCGTGTCATTGATCACAGCCAAAATGTCAATGTCAAAATCCTGCAATGAGATTTCATTAAATAATATACATCATGCCTATTACCACAATTCTAAGGCATTAAAGACTGTGAGAAATTAACATATTTTCCCAATATTTCCAAGTATTTCCAAGTCACTACCCTGAACTGTACAACACAATGAAAAGTCTGTTTTGAATCTAAAATTTTTTTTTTGTGTTTCCTTTGAAAAAAAAAATGAAAAAAAAAAAGAATTCTGCATCTTACCATTAAATTGCTCTGAACACAAGTGAATATTCCTTTATTGTGTGGGGGGGTGATACGTTTTGTTTTTTGTTTTTAACAGACTTAAAAACATGCATGCAGAGGTGGCCTGCTCTTCTAGGCTTGGACATGAAACATTATTCCAAGACATTGCAGCCTACCCCATTACCACAGTGGCTTTGATTATCAGAATGGATAACTGAAGGAACATGAATGTTCTCATGCAGGAATACTGATGGGGAAACCTCCTGCATTGCTGTGTTTGCACATTTCTAAGGATGCTTTCATCACCATGAAAAATCACCGTCTCTCAGGGATCTCCACATCTCACGCATTGAAATCAAAGGTAACAATATGTCAAAGTCAAGTCAAGATGATGTCGAGTGCCTGACTACCACTGCCTCCATTTCTGCAGTGTGATGGATATGTCTGTGCCACCAACTGTGTCTGTGAGAGTATGTGTTTGTTTTGTACTTAGTTTGTCTGTTGTTGTGATGTGTGTGTTTCTACTTCTAAACATTCTATTATGCATTCATCTCAAACAGAAGCAGTATGTCATTTAGTGAAGGGCCTTGAAATGAGGCTGCACAGTCAAAACCCACACAATGGCTTTTTCTGAGGATGGTACACCACTTAAAATAAACCCTTATTTTTGCAGTGACATTTGCTATGGCAGTTTCAACTTCTAATTGTTCCTTCTTAGCCTTCAGATGTGCTTATTGTAGCTCTAACACTTGTCTTTTCTTAATTCACATCAATCCACACAAAGTCAGACCAGTCATCTGACTTTTTATTTGTATTTCCAAGCAGACATGAATAAGAAAGTGAACAAAAAAGATTTCTAGGTCTTTGTAAGTTTGCTGTATGAAAATAGCACATATTGTACAAAGAAATCAGAGTTTGCACACTTACCCCTCGTTTTTTAATTGATTTCTTCAGAAGGCTGACCACATCTTTTCCCTCTACTCCACTTGCCTTGAAGCCTTTGGTCCAAGACACCAAAACACTCTGGAAATAGGAAAAGAAAGAACAGAATCATTATCTATCCGTTTCATTTCAGCCATGTCATTGGTGTAATCAATCAACAACACACTTATGTAAGTTAGTTAGTTATGCAGACCCCACCAATTAACAATCTGACGTGAGTCAACTAACCTAAAAAAAAACAAAAAAGACAAAAAACAAATCATCAGTGGATAAAATAATCCCTGAGTGAAATACAAACTCAAGTGAAAACGCACAGAAACTGGCAAAACGTTGCTGCTGATGTCTTTCTATCAAAAGATAAAGTTCAAACCAAATTCAATTCAATTCAAAATTTTAATTTTACTATGTAAACCCCCAAACCATGTATTTAATTAAAAAAAAACCTCCTTCCTTGGAGCACTTTGATAGGTACTGACCTTCTTTGGCAGACCGGGACGACCCCAACAAGACTTGCAGGTTTTGGGAGATAAAATCTGACCCAGCCATCCCTTGCCATCAAAATTATCAGCTATCCAAAGTCCGCTCAAAATCTTCACACTGCCTTTTTTCAACTTTTTTGAGGACAAAATGTTCACTTGCTGCCTGATATATCCCACCCACTGACAGGAGCCATGATAACCAGATCATCAGTGTTTTTCACTTCACCAGTCAGTGCTCAGAATCTTATGGCTGATCGGTGAATATATACACAGTTGTGTTCAAGATAATAGCAGTCCAACATAACTAACCAGATCAATCACTGTTTTTGGTAGAAATTATATTACTACATGGCAAATAATTTACCAGTAGGTGTAGTAGAGTCGTAGAAAACCAACAGACCCAACATTTATGATATGCATGCTCCTAAGTCTGTGTAATTGAAAAATTAATTGAAAGGGACGTGTTCAAAATAATAGCAGTGTGGAGTTTCTTAGCTTCAAGCCTGGCTCCTCTGACAGAGACAGGACAGTGTTGACAATTCCATGGATTTGGTGGCATTCAAAGCAGTGAAATGTTTAACTTGGAATGAGAATGAGATTATCCTTCATCCTCAATTCACCCCATCGCAGACATCCCACTTGAGATATGAACTGACAAGTTGATAGGACTTACAGAAGAGCATGTAACACAGTTAACCCATTGGTTTCGGGAAAAATAAAGATTTAAAATATAAACAGTACATATCCATGAATTCAAATAAAATACAGATTGAGCTAAAGAAAAAATATCAAAATCTTGTTATCAGATCCAACACTTTGTCCCAGATGACCCTTAAGTCATAGGGGGATCATCTCAGTCATTCACTACCCTTTCACTTGAGGCCAAAGTATTATTTCTGAATCACTCACCTCATCCAACTTGGTCTGTTGACACGGAAAAGAGAAGGTGAAACCCAGAGGAAGCTTTTTATCCTTTATGCCCAACTTCTCCAGGAAATTAGCCAGGCAATCAGCTATGTGGTCGAATAACTACAGGGGGAGAGAAAAGGTCAGTTTTCTTATTAATGAAAAGCTGAAGAAATGCTATGTAATTTGTATGTGTGGGGGTGTGTATAGATACCAAAAATCATTAATGCCATCATTCCAATTATTAGTAGTGGTAGTAGCTTTGTATTATTAACATTTAGAATAGTGGTAGTAGGGCAGTCTTACTGCCACTAGTAATCGTTCTGAGAGCTGATACCACAGATACAAAACTCAAAACATAAATACAAATATATAGATTAGGGATGTCCCTCCCTGTCATTTAATATTGAGTATCTGCCGATAACAAGTCCCAATCTGATACTTGTTTGTTCTTTAAATAATACAGGTGCACAATGCGCACTTTGAAGTACATTAAAGTTATACAAATCAATTCAGTGTATATGCTGATAGATTTGCATTGCATTAAGAAACAAAATTCCTCCATTGAAGTGGTTTTCTTTTTACATAATATAAAATAACAAAGGCTCTGTAACCTTTGTGGTCTTGTCACTGTCTGGAGGAAGTTTCACTCTCCAGTGTTTGTTTCTTTAGTGCTGCCTTTACCTGAGTTACCTGAATGTCTGTCTTACATAATATAATATATATAATATATAAATAAAATCAATGTGATAATACTTGCTGGAGCTCTCTCTAATTATTGTTGAGACTTCCCTTTCCATCTCTTTCAAGCACTTGGCACTTTTAACAAGCTCAGCTGGGCTTTTGTACTGAAGCAGATTAGTTTTTCTGAATGTGCTGAGAAACACACTTTAAGTGTTGTCAGTATGAAGCTACAAGGGTTGGTGTTGTGGATGTAGTCCTTCTGGCATCTGTCACCTGTCACATTTGTCTGTTTCAAGTTTCAAGTTTGTTGTTTAAGTGATGTGTAAATGACATTTACACCTTATAAATGCCAGCTAAGCTGGGTAGCACACTGTCACCACATTACAGGCTACAACAATGCTGTGTTATATTTTGTACAGTAAATATTAGCTGTGTGTAATGTTTATTGTTTAATGTTTAACTTACTTCAGACCCGCTGCCTCTCATGAGGTGTTCAGGAATGGCATAAATTTGATTTTCCATCTCCACCTTTTGCTTGCCATCGGCCATTACTTTGACCAGGAGCACTCTGAAGTTGGATCCACCAAGGTCAAGGGCCAGGAATTCACCTTGCTCTTTGAACAAAAAAAAGAACAAAAAAAAAACAACACACACACACAAATGATTCAAACGCTAAACAGAGTTCCTTCTTCATAAAACATTAGGAAAGTTAGGGGACACATATCACACAGGAGGGAAATTTTAACTTTGACTAGCTGAAGGTGGCAGCAGTTGGTCAATAAATAAACTGCGGGTCCCGAGATGTATTAAAATTAAATTTAAAAAATTAAAAAATACAAAATGCCCAGATTCTGAAATGAAATGTCAGCTTTTCAATTATTTTCTGGTTACTGAATTTATTGTGGAAATAACAGACATTTGAGGACCTCCTCCACCTTTCTGCTTTATTGTCTCTATAAAACTTTCAACCACACTGCACCTCTGACCTCACATCATTCACTGAAGAAAGGTAAGAAAACTTTCATTATTATCTTGATGTACTTTGTGAAGAGTGAATCATCAGAAATAATAATTATATTGCAGTTCAGAACTGCTGTCGCACTGTTCTGTATGAGGTTCTGACCAAACCCCAATTGACCTTTTTCATTGTTAGATATTTTAAAAGGACTCTCTAAGCTAAAAAAGAACATTACACATAGGTAGATACCACTGGAGAAAAGTCAGAAAATGTGTCTACGCATTAACTTAATTTGGCTTAATTTGACATTATATATGATACAATATGATACATACATACTAGTCTATTTCTGTTTTATTGAACTTGTTGTTCTGTTTATTTATGCTGTAAGTCTGTGTTAGTACATTGAGAGTCAAATTTTCCTTGTATGTGTGCACGTACCAGGCAAATAGTGATTCTGCTATAATATTGTGGTTTTGCAGTGGTGTGAATGGAACTGCAGTTGCACTCCCGAGTCTCTATGTTAATTTTATTAATGGACTTCTTATATGAAAAGTAGTATTACCTGTTCCATCAGGAGTGGAGCGCACATATGTGGGCAGCATCTTGACAGCAGCTGTAGGGTTGGTGTCTCTGCACAGGCCTTTGTCCATCTCTCGTCGAAATCTTATTGACATATCCATCAACGTCTCATCTGAAAGCTGAAGACGGTGCAGGTATTTGTCCACCTAAATAATTAGGAGTACAGCAGTGAGTCAATAAATAAATTAGGAAATGTATTGTTATTCTATTGAACAAATTAACCAACAAATGACATTAAAATTGGACAGCTCTGCTTTTTTTTTTTCTTTTGAGGATATAGTCCTATCAAGTTTTCAATACTGCCTGATAAGAGGGTCGTGTCAGTACCAACAGCAGCATGTTAAAGGACTGAATGGATGCAAAACAAGCTTTTCTGTGTGTTTAAAAGCAGTTCTGCTTGTATTGCTGGCTGCCATGCACTGTCAGTGAGAATAATGTTCATTTAAGCTGCTAGCAGTTGCACTTAGTGTTGCTCTGTAATTGATTCGCTCAAGTGAGTGTAAGGACATTAGCGTAGAGATTACAGGGCATCAGGCAAAATGAATTCTTCCACTCTCACATTTCTGTTCTAACTTTCAAAAATCATAGCCACACTGTTTTGTGATTCCCTCTATTTTGTAGTTCTATCACAGGTGGACTCAACTGGTAATGCAATCCCACTTTCTGCTGCCTCTTAATATTTAAGTTTCATTAGCAAACCACTGAAAGGCTTTTATTCTGAAAGTAGCTACAAAAGGTGCTAACATAATGGTGTACTGTCCCAAGGCTGAGTCCTAGTGCAGCAGCCTTGGGTTCCACCCCAACTTGTGGCTCTTTGCTGCGTGTCACCCACACTGGAGATAGTGAGGATAATAGAGTTCAGCCACAAGAAGCTTGACAACATGTGGTCAAAAGACCTTTTCTGGAGTAGACCACAAAAAAAATGATTTTCCTGTTGTCCTTACATTCAAAAGAGGCCTACTACTACTACT